AGTGCCCAATTGTCTCCGACATTTCTCAATGCAGAGTCTGACCATCCATTCGGTTTCAGTTCGCCAAAACTGCACATTAGCAAGCCCACTTTTGTAGGAGCCGAAATCCAGGGACATGGTGTGGACGAAAACAATTTCAGTCACGGCCTGGGGGATTGGACAAGTGTCTCCGAGCGAGCGAGCGCCGGCGTCTTTAGGTGCGGACAAGCCCTAAACCCTAAACCCTAAACCCTAAACGCTAAACCCTAAACCCTAAACCTAAACCCTAAACCCTAAACCCTAACGCTACGTGTTTGTTCAGGCCGCAGGGAATAAGTTCCCACGTGACCGCGCCCACTCGGCCAGGACAAAAGCCCCTCTTGGAACCGAAAACGGGAGTCTGGGAAACCCACGTTCTCGGGCCATGCTAAAGACGGGCCCAAGATGAGGTCATGAGTGCATCTTTCGAGCAGTATAGTCAGACGGTAGGTGCCTTGCCTAGCCAAAAAGGTTGTTCTTCGCAGTAGGCCATGTCTTTCCGGCTCTGTTTGCTGCAAAAACTCCGCACGCCGTGCGAGCCTTGGATGTATTGGGAGACTCTTTGAGGGTATGGCGTGTTTCCCATTGCTAGATCTCTATTCATGTGCTGGTTCAGAACAGCAGAACATGTCAGTACATGTCAGTGGGATGGCATACGACAAGACCTTCCTCCAGGTTCATACCAAAACCCCATGATGCCACAGCAGCGAAACCCATGCACACGTGACCATCGCAATGCCGCACCCCGGCCAGAAAAACACAAAAGAGAGCTTCATGCAACTGAGCCAAGTGCAACTCAGCGTTGTTGGTCACCTTCGTTGGACGCGCACTGTCTCATCTAGGGCTCTCAGCGACGTGGAGCCCTGTGTATCTGCAACACTTGCGACATGTCCAAAACGCATTGCTGAAATGTTCACGCTTCCCCTAGTACCACCCTCTATTCTAGTTCTCTTAGATTCCCCCTTAAATAACCTTAAGTTAAGCTTAATTCTCCCTAAATAGCCTTCACTATGAGGTGAACCTAGGGGGGGGGGTAGTATAGAGGGGGGGCAGTAGGGGAACCGATGAAAATGGCTCTGCCAAGCCGCTTCAGCCATCGTGACTGGTGAGAGTGCAATGATCGAGGCGCCTCAAGTGAACAGAAAGCTCTTGGTCGTCGTTTGTTGTCTTTCAAACTTTGCAAGGCGCATGAGCAAAGAAGGCAGAAGCTTCAGAAGGTTCAGGAGGTTGGCACATTCCAACCTTCTTTTGGCTGCACCGTTAATCCCTAAACCCTAACCCCTAAACCCTAAACCCGAAACCCGAAACCCTAAACCCGAAACCCGAAACCCGAAGCCAAAGCTTGCTTGGACTCCGGTGGGGTTGGCAACCTCGGCTCTGGGTGCTTATTTGAGGGGTCTAATTTGCCGCACCAGAATGCTGCACGCCCTGTCTTTGATGTAGCAAGGGGACGAAGCAACAACAGCAAGAATTTGAAGGAAGGAAAAGGCACAAAAGTGGGCTATCAAATGGGCGAAACCGTTCAGGCTTGAATACTTTTTTGACTGCCCTCTAAACGGCACCCTAAACCTAAACTCTAAACCCAAAAAGACCCTAAACACCCTAAAATCGCAGTTCCCGGCCTCGATCTCCAGTTGCCAGGAAGCTTCATTTGCTGCTCGAGCCGAGCCGAAGAACCGATGCTATTGGAAACGAGGCATCAGGACCATGCCACATCCTGGGCTGCCCTCTGGAGTACTCCAATCAGTTTAGGGTGTAAGGTTTAGGGTTGAGGGTTGAGGGTTGAGGGTTGAGGGTTGAGGGTTGAGGGTTGAAGGTTGAGGGTTTAGGGTTTAGGGATTAGGGTTTAGGGTCTAGGGTTTAGGGTTTAGGGAGCTCATGGCAAGCTAGCAGCAGCATGCAAGAGACGGAAGCTGCAGGCTGTCGTCTTTGATTTCCGAAGGAGACTTCTCGTGCTTCAGACTCTGAAGGGCCTCGATGCACACAAAGGACTGCTGTCCTTCGGGCCTGGGCTCAGAAGCTTTAGACAGTTTGGGGTTTGGGGTTTGGGGTTTAGGGTTTAGGGTTTAGGGTTTAGGGTTTAGGGCTTAGGGTTTAGGGTTTAGGATTTAGGGTTTAGGGTTTGGGGTTTAGGGGGACCCTTGGGGATATAGACCCTCTGAATAAGGTTCCTGTTTCAGAGAGACAGAAGAGGGTTAAGAAGGGTTCCCTTTTAAGGGCCCCCCTTATCCTACCTAGGATAGACAGTTTCGGGCTCTGAGGGGGGGTTGAGCTGCTGAGGGCCTTTTTGGTTTGAAGATGAGGCCAGTTGCGTGAACGAGGCAGATGACCAGGGTTTCGATGCATCACGAAAGCTGAATGATAGGCTTCAAACAGTCGACTCGAAAACATATTCACGTAGGGCTTATGGGGATTATCTCGACTTATTCTCCTCCAGTTCTACCAGACAAACTCTTCAAGACCTGCCTCTCAGGGCTAGGAACTCTCATAGGGTTCGGGCTTCGGGTTTAGGGCTTAGGGCTTAGGGTTTAGGGTTTAGGGTTTAGGGTTTAGGGTTTAGGGAGTAGGGTTTAGGGAATAGGGTTTAGGGTTTAGGGTCTAGGGTCTAGGGTTTCGGGTTTCGGGTTTCGGGTTTAGGGTTTAGGGTTGCCTCTTCAACTGTAGGCTGGGCTCTCAGATCAAAGCTTGAAAAAGGGATGCAACAATTTCGGGCCCCGCAAAAGGGCCTTACTCGCAGTCGCAGTCGTACTCCGGCAATGAGCGCCGTATCACAACTAAACCCTAAACCCTAAAAACCTAAACCCTAAACCCTAAACCGTAAACCCTAAACCCTAAACCCTAAACCCCAAACCCCTAAGCTGAGCATCCTGGGCTCGGTGCTCTATGGATTTATGGCAGCATGCCGCGGCCACAAGGGTAGCTCTTTAAATTAGGGTCCCTTTTGGGGATCCTTTTTTAAAGGGTGCCGCCTTGTAAGGGGTACCCAAAAATGGGCCCTAATTTAGAAAACTACCCATAAAGGAGCGATGCTCTTACGGCTGCGCCATGCCGCGAAGAGCTTTCTAGAACGCCTGCTGTCAACCCTAAGCGCTCCATCGGGCTTAGGGTTTAGGGTTTAGGGCTTAGGGTTTAGGGTTTAGGGTTTAGGGTTTAGGGTTCAGGGCTTAGGGTTTAGGGTTTAGGGTTTAGGGTTTAGGGCTTAGGGCTTAGGGCTTAGGGTTTGTTCATTTGGGCACTCGAGCGTTTTTCCGCGCTGCTGCGAAGCCTCTGCACATGTCCGAAGTGACGTACAAAGGGCCAAAAAGGCCCACGGGTCAGACGCATAAACTCACTGTCGTGCTGGCCGCTGATCTTCATCTACAACACCTTTGCGAGTACTGTTCCGCATTCTGGGGTCTTCTTGGGTACCTTAAATACAGGAATCTACGATTTTCACAATGGGTAATTCAGAACAACGCGGCCCCAGCTGACATGTACATGTACATACACATTTACACATTCATACACATGTCTCTCTTTCTCTCCTCGTTGCCTTGTTATTGATGAATTCCTATCTTCGAGTTCTGATGATCCACCGACTCCGCCAAAAGAGGGGAGTCTACAACGCGAGACGCAGGTGATCTTTGCTTGCCTGTTGCAGATCGCAGGGCCAAGCTTGAGCAGGACTCAGCCAGCCTTTTGCAGATCAGCACGTCCTGCCATGATGCTTAGCAGCCTTAAAAGTCTGAATCCTCAACAGGGATGCGTGAGCACGCCACTCGGCCTTCAATTTACTTTCCGCAGAAGTGGCGGCCAAACCGCCAACCGCGGCTGATGAGGATTTCATCACTTCTTCACCCAAACAATTCAGTGTTGGAAGTCATTCCCGTCATGCTGCTGTATGAAAATGTGAAATCCGCGAGTACAAGCTACGTCGCCCATCTTCAGTATAGAAGACCATAGAAGACCCAAACATCCCTGAAACCGAACCTTAAATCCCAGGTACGTGGCAATGAGTTGCCCCTTCCTGCGGCAGGACACGCTGCTTTGCAGCGTTGGGCGCTCTGCATCTCAGCCCCACTAACTTTTGGCTCCATGTACCTCGTTTGCCGCACTTTCCAACGGGATGAATGTATCGTTATTTACAGTGTTTCGCGCGCGTGACATGCCTAAAACATCGGTATTTACGACCATTCGTAGCTTCGTTGCGTGCGAGTGGCCAGAGCATCCATGCCCGCACGATGATTCCGTCCGTGTAGAGCATCCATGCCATGCTTCCGTCCGTGTTACCAGGCGTGCGAGTGGCCAGAGCATCCATACCCGCACGATGATTCTGTCCGTGTTACCAGCGCGTGCGAGTGCATGCTGGTGCCCACATAGCCGCTTTAAGTGCTCTGTTATGCTCTGCTTGTACAGGAGACACCGGGCATGCAGGACATTTTGAACTGCTTTCGCATCTACTCGAATGATGTCCATCACACTCTCCCGCCCAGCCAAGCCCTCGTGGACACTGCGTGGCTGGACACGCCGGAGCCGTGAGTTCGAAAAAGCAAAACTTCGAAGAGCAAAAATGCCCAGTTTTTGCTGCCTCCAAAAAGCAACAAGCAGCGATTAGAACCCTCTTCAAGCCCTGCACATACTCACGGGAAGCTTGCCCTGCGAATGGCCATTCCTTCTCAAATGTAGCCACAACCTAGGCGAGAGTACATTTTTGGCATCTTCTCAAGTCTGGCAACATGCTGCGCTCGGGCGTACCTTGGTTTGATGCCGCTTGGCGGCGCAGCAAACGAGGCACATGTCGCCGAACTTCTGAACTGTTCAGCAGTAGCAAGAAAGAACGCTGAACACAGCTTGAACTAGAGAATTCGCACGGAGAACTCATTACGACAGATCTTGAGTATTCTTGACGAAACATCAACTATGCCAGCTGGAGAGTGCGTACCGTTGGGATTTGGGGAGTTGGGTTCGAGCTTTAGGACAGCGTGCTGCGCATTCCTAGCAATTCATTCCAACCGGGCCAATTTGGATTTCCGTTCACATTCGGGCCTCCCCCGCATATCTGCTGTGCATGCCATCAACGCTTTGGCGGCCTCGGGCTCCGAATCGCAGGTCGCATCCTGACTGGAAAAGGCCCTTGGTCCTGTCTCTCTTCCGCTGAAGGTCTTGCCGCTTTTTGCGTTCCGATACCTTTGCTGCTGCTTTAGCTGCCTTCTCGGGGTCGGAAGGTTCCAAGCAGCTTCCAAAGCCTTGCCTGTGTTGCGGAAGGCCTCGGCCGCCGCATCTTTGGCCGCCTGCTCCGTTTCACCCCTTCCCAAGTAGACCTCACCAAGGAATGGGCCGAAGTTGATGCGGAGCGGGCAAAGAAAGGAGTCTGTGTTGGAAGGATCTGGGTCTGCCTTGTAGTCCAAGACATCCAAAGTCCCGGCGAGTCGCTGCACGAAGGGAACGATCACTTTGGAAGCGGGCATACCACTAACGAACTCCGGCATTCCCGGTGACGTTCTGGCTGCTGCGTGGTCATCGTGCAGGTGAACTTCTGCAACACTGCTCGGAGTGCTCAGCACCACTTTGCTGCGTGGAGTGGCAATGGCAGGGCTTTGCGATGAACCGGGACTCGAGCTGGAGCTCGAAACCGCGACAGGTCCGACAGGATGAAGGTTCCCTGGGCTTTGCGAGCTCTGCGAGCTCTGCCAGCAGCTCGGCTGCATTGATGCAGCCACTGCCACAAACCACCGCACTAGGTCAGGGGACTACGATGGACTGAATGAAAGCGTGACCTTGCATACGTTTGAGGAAGTGAGACTCACAGCCAGCTACTGTAGCACTCTTGCAAGTCATGAAAGTCGTGTCAGGTCATCGTGCCAGCGCATGAGATGCAAGACACTCGAGCCGCAAGCAGGCGCAAGACATCATGGCAGCATTCAAGGCCTTATGGGGCAGGTACACAGCCATGCACATCCCTAAACCCTAAACCCTAAACCCTAAACCCCAAACCCCAAACCCCAAACCCTAAACCCTAAACCCTAAAAACCCTAAACCATGGGAGAGTCAATACAGTGACAGCCCATCCCGGGCTGCTGGTCACCTTATGTAGCCAGGAAGCCGGTGATCACCTGGCGCGCAGCGCACTGCCAAGCCAATGGGCCGTCTGATAGGTGGAATGAGAATGATGGCGCTATTTATGCTAGGACCCATTATGGGGGTTGCATTTCTTGTTTTTTTTTTTTTTTGAGGGGTGGGGGGGGGGGGGCAAGGATGAAGGTTCATGAGACTTCGGTTTCATAGCTTGAGGTAAGGAAAGAGGAAGAGCTCGAAGTCCTAAATCCAGAAGTCAGGCGCCTTGAACTGATCCAGCTGGTCGGCGACGCGTGTCTCGTCTTGGAGCTCCTCTCAACAAAAGGGCCAGAGAAGGCACAAATTGTGGTGGACCTAGGGCCTATGGGGATGTCGGACCACGCACCGCAGTCAAACAGCAAAAGACCTTGAAGACTGTGAAGACGCGTCCTTAACCCTAAACCCTAAACCCTAAACCCTAAACCCTAAACCCTAAACCCCAAACCCCAAACCCTAAACCCTAAACCCTAGCTCTAAATGCCGCCATGGGGTCCTTGCTGTTCTTGGGGTGCCCGCTCGACTTCGCTGCCAAGCTGTCCTAACCCCCCTCCATCAAAGACTCCGAGAGGGCTTAAGGGGGTTTAGGGTTTAGGGTTTAGGGTTTAGGGTTTAGGGTTTAGGGTTTAGGGTTTAGGGTTTAGGGTTTAGGGTTTTGGGGTTTAGGGTTTAGGGTTTAGGGTTTAGGGTTTAGGGTTTTGGGGTTTAGGGTTTAGGGTTTAGGGCGTGCCAAACGGGAGCGCGCTTTGGGAGCGCGCGGTAGTATGCAGACCTACCCACCCCAAGACCGCCCACTTACAACTCTCAAGGAGTTAAGACCTTTTATTTTTTTACAAAGCATCACATGAGTCAGCACTCACGCCCTTTTTGGGGATTTCCACAAGGTGCGTGCGGAAACGAGGCAGGGTCCGTGAAGACAGCTTGGGTTGGCGCGAAGGGGCTATGAAGGGATGGGCTAGGAACAGACAAAGGCAGCGAGGCTTGGTTGGCGCGAAGGGGCTCCAGCCAGGAAGAACACACAGTGAACTGCTTGGGTCGGGCAGAGGGCCACGGAAACAGGGCTGGTGTGGCGGATAGCTCGGCTTGGCGCGAAGGGGGTAAGGTGGGGTGCCGGGTCAGGGTCAGGACCAGGCACAAATTTGCAGCAAACGGAAGCGAGGCAGGACAGATTGGGTTGGTGCGAAGGGGCGAAAGCCAGGGAGAGCGCCCCGAAACAGGACACAAACTGGTGTGCGGACAGCTTGGCTTGGCGCAAGGGGGTAATATGACTCGAACAGGCCAGAGGACAGGGCAGAGCCAGGGCCAGGGCGCAAAACTAGTCAGGGCCAGGGCCAGGGCCAGGGCCAGGGCCAGGGCCAGGGCCAGGGCCAGGGCCAGGGCCAGGGCCAGGGCCAAGGTTTGGCCCCTAGCTTGACGTGAAGGGGGTAAGGTGGGGTGCCGGGCCAGGTCAGGTCACAAGCGACGGAAACAAGGCAGGGTCCGTGAAAACCCAAGGGACGGGCCAGGAACAGAGAAAGGCAGCGAGGCTTGGTTGGCGCGAAGGGGCTCCAGCCAGGAAGAACACACAGTGAACAGCTTGGGTTGGGCAGAGCGCCACGGAAACAGGGCTGGTGTGGCGGATAGCTTGGCTTGGCGTGAAGGGGGTGCTAAAGCCAGAGAGGGAGAGCGCCCAAACAAGACACAAATTGGTGCGCGGACAGCTTGGCTTGGCGCAAGGGAGGGCCCTGGGCCAGGGCCAGGGCCAGGGCCAGGGCCAGGCCAGGGCCAGGGCCAGGGCCAGAGCCAGGGCCAGAGCCAGGGCCAGGGCCAGGGCCAGGGTTAGGGCATGGCCGGGGCCAGAGCCAGGGCCAGGGCCAGGCCAGGGCCAGGGGGCCAGGTGAGGGGGCCAGGGCCAGGGCCAGGGCCAGGGTCAGGGCCAGGGCCAGGGCAGGGCCAGGGCCAGGGCCAGGGCCAGGGTCAGGGCCAGGGCCAGGGCCAGGGCCAGGGCCAGGGCCAGGGCCAGGGCCAGGGCCAGGGCCAGGTCCAGGGCCAGGGCCAGGGTCAGGGCCAGGCCAAAAGGGAGTTTTTGGGCCAGAGCCCTGCCTGCCCCAACAAAACGGCCCCTGGTCCCCTCGGCCCAGCGGACGGGGGTTGGGGACCCAGGGGTCTCCAGGGGCCTTCCCAGGGGGCCTCCCAATGCAGGAGCCAAGAATGGGGGTTTCGGGGGGTATATAATATAATACAGTGACTACTGCTGTCTCGGCCTGTGCCTGCCTGGAGGGTAAGCCTGCCTGGAGGCCAGCTCGGTCGCCCGCCTGGGGCTCCCTCGCAGGGTCTCACTGAGCGCTCGACCAGCGCCCGCCTACCCCAAAAGACAAGAGAGTGGGGTGGCGGGCGGGTTTAGGGTTTAGGGTTAGGGTTTAGGGTTTAGGGTTTAGGGTTTAGGGTTTAGGGTTTAGGGTTTAGGGTTTAGGGTTTAGGGTTTAGGGTTTAGGGTTTAGGGTTTAGGGTTTAGGGTTTAGGGTTTAGGGTTTAGGGTTTAGGGTTTAGGGTTTAGGGTTTAGGGTTTAGGGTTTAGGGTTTAGGGTTTAGGGTTTAGGGTTTAGGGTTTAGGGTTTAGGGTTTAGGGTTTAGGGTTTAGGGTTTAGGGTTTAGGGTTTAGGGTTTAGGGTTTAGGGTTTAGGGTTTAGGGTTTAGGGTTTAGGGTTTTTGAGCATCGTACCCACACTTAGAGGTCTAGCATTTCCTCAACGGTTTATCAACGGTTTGGATTTGGGGTGGATCGCGCTTTACAGTGAGTGCTGAATTCTCAGAAGGTTTGGAATTCATGGCGGTTATTTCATTTTCCATCTACTAGTCAGGCTCAGGTTGTTGGGTTTGGGCTTTGCCTTATTCCTACGTGTTTGGGCCGTGACCCTAAACCCTAAACCCTAAACCCTAAACCAAGCTCCAAAACTTGGGCCAATGGAAAACGGCGCCGTTAAAAGGATACGAGGACCTTCGAGAGTCCTACGGAATGAGTAGGGTCACAAACATTACCCGGATCGGGCATCCTGGGCTTCTTACGCTACTTCCCTAAGCCCTCTAAAACACTCTGCAGAACCTTACGAAACCCTGACAATTTCTCGTAAACACCCCCCAAAAAAACAGAAGTTCCTCAAGAAATGCCCATTAAATCACCGAATCCTTCCAGCAGTGCACTTGGGGCTTGGGGCTCAAGGATTTCCTGCTCCAAGCTTGCCTTTCAAGTTGCAAGGGTTCAAAAGTTTAAAAGGGTATTGAAGGGATTGAGTGGGGGGGTTTATATGGGGGGTTCCACGGCTACCATTCCATCCCTCGAGAATCTGTCCCAGTTTGGCATTTGTCGTCTCACTAATTCAGCTAATGCAACACAAACACCCACCGAAAGCGTGGATCTACGTCTCTGCACCACATGCAACGTGCCTCATAAACTGATGCAGATTCGAACACGAAAGCACATTCAATCGGACACCTTTTGCTGGCAAGCGGTCCACCTCTGAACGTGACATCCGGCACTGACTAAACTTCAAGTCCGCGACAAAAGAACCTTGCTCACACGTTCCAATGAACTCCACCCCTTCCGGCCCTTCCGGCCCTTCCGGCCGCGGATGTCAAGCACCTGGGGGCGCTCTTGGGACCACAGCACCACGGCCACATACCTCCGAGGCTCTCAACAGGGCCCTGCTACCACGAGAAGCGCTGAATGATGCGTTATGAGGCGTTCAGCACAGGAGATCACACAAGCCCCGCATCGCAGGAGGCCACCTTGCAGCGAGAGGCGAGGCACATGCCTTGCGCACACGCTGCCGGGGACCTTACCATACAAGCACCCGGCGCATCCGGCAGACCACGGCGAAGCAAGTCGGAAAGGTTGGCAGGGGACCTGCTGCTGCCACGGCATGGCCGAACTGCAGCAGCGTTGGCTCCTATGTCAAATGTTCGGACCTGCCATGTTATCCAATGTGCTACCAGGTTGCTACCACCCTTCCTGACAGGAATTCCGGGGAGAATTTCCGGAAGGCACAGCGGCGCGCGGGAAGGCACGACAGGTATCCAGTCGCAGGCAACATGAAGCTGGTTCGTACACGATCCACCGCATGCTCTGACGCACACGAGCAACAATGCTGTCGCAGGTCGCGGGGCGCGGTGGTGCTCTGCCACGCAGTGCTGCTTGTGGCCCGGCTTTGAAAAGACCAGGAGCTGTTTCCCCTCATTGAAGATGGCAGGACAAGCCAATGCAGAAAGCGCCCTGCGGGCCTACCCAAGCACCCCAAAAATTGGGAGAGTGTCGGTTGAAGGAGCCCCCAAGTCTCATCTCAAAGAGCATGAGGGCACCTTCTGATGCCCGGAGAGCAGCTGCAGCTTAAGCCCACAACACGATGGCTGCCCCCCCCCACCCCGGAAGAGGGACCAGCATGACACTGGCCTCAGGATTTCCCATCTGCACCACGCCCAGGTCCCAGGCTGGCCCGGAAGGCGAGGCTGCTCTCCGCTCGGGCTAGCGGTGTTCAGGGTTTTGGATGTCTTGATGTGCGGACTGGCATCTTCTACACTTGCTGGACGTCACAGGAAGCACTCTGCAATGAATTGCAACATC